GTAAAATAATATTTGACTGCATCGATTATGAAGTAGTATTGTAACAGTTTTATATTTATCCCGCATGATAAGCACATATATATAGATATATCATTTTTATTAAATATATGTGTACCCAGGTGCAGCACGTGTAGATTTTATCTTACTATGCTAGCAAAAACAGCAAGTGTTAGCGCGCACAGCATCTGTTACACATACTCTTACACAACGCGAAAACAACATAATTTCACATTAAATAAAGATACTAAACAAAACAAAAAAAATAATGTCATACGCGTTTAGAAGGATATTTTGAGGACAAATCCAAATGAAAACAAACAAAACGTGCACTAGAGTGAAAAAAACACAAAAACTGTATCGTTTTATTACACTTACACTGACCACAATGTACACTTGATTGACAAGTTTCGGTTGGTGAATTTAGAACTAGATAGGCAACATGGCTATCTCAGATGCGGTCTATATATGCGTACATCCAAGAACTCTTCACACAGAACAAGTGAACTAATATTTACTTGCTATTTTTTTAGGAAAACAAGTAATGTGGCCTAGTACGATGACAATTTTTCGCTTGTGGCTGATTGAATAACTGACTGGTTTCAATGTAGAACTTTGCACTCATGTGCAGCAGTTCGAGTCGCCACAACCCCCCCATGTACCACACAAAGCAAAAGAAGAGAGTAAAGGCAGGTTCAAAAGACGGATAATAAAAAGATATATGAGGCAAAAAGAATAGCAACATGGGAAAACAATAAAATTTCATTCGACATGATAAATCACAAAGAGTGAATGCATCGCTGCCAGCCATTGAGAACGATTTTCAGCCGGATCAACAATTGTCTCCAGCACTCATTGGTTTTTATCAACCCGAAGACTCCAACCAGACAGAAGTCTACACCTCTCGACGTGGCTGGCTAACTGGCTAAAACTAACTCCTGTGGATTTCATTGACTGATGAAGCCATGTTTCGGTAGACCACCACTAGCTCTTTTGTAACCTGATCCATCCTATGTCAGTCAGTTAGCATTGCCCGTCAAGGAAGGCCACTGCTAAGTCGGTGTAACTTCACAACCTCGTCGATTGATTTCCCCTCCCACCTACCTAGCACTCGACTGATGCCTCACCTCAACATTTCTCACCTTATTATATCACCTAACACGGGAGATAGTGTGGTGAGATCTGGTTGCTAGCCAAAATTGGTAGACAGTAATTTACGTCAATGTTTATGTCCCAAATTTTGGTCATGTGAAAACAAGAACAAAGACTGATTCAACAACCAATGACAGCAGACTTTGTTTGCGTAGGCGGATACAATTAGCAGATAAATGATCTGACATTCAAGAAACAGCCAGAAAGAGATGGGAGATTAACTTTCAGTGAGAAACAACCTATCAGAAGACTGTGTTTGTCTGCTAACAATAATCTATAATAATGTACATGAAAATCTACATATATATATATATATATATATCCTTAATAAACGATCTGTTGCCTGACTCTTGTCTTCTGTTGTTACAATAGAACACAGACACCTATGATCAAAGACAGCTAGCCAGGCTTTTCATGTCTTCCACTTCCAACGGTCATGTCTCACTCACAGCCATAAAGGAGGACGGAGAGAACTGCTGAGCAGTACACACGCCCTTCGGTCGACAGCCAGTCGGATATCACGTCTACTAAGCCAGAGATAGCGTAAACTAGCATTTGCGAAACAAGCCTTGTGTATCCGTGCTAAGATTTCGTTAGCGACAGACCCGCTGGCGCGTTGACTGATGCAACTCCCCAAATAAGCGAAGCAGTCAACACACTCAGCCACCACTTAACTCCCTATTTTTAAACTAGAATTTTTTTCGCATGTTCAAAAAACTATCGCAGTTTTGGCTAGTCAGTCGTGACAGATGAATGACACTCAGCCTATTTAAGCCGCATAAAGAGCTCAACAATCCGCTCTTACTGAAGTTGTTATATAGTTATTAAAGTTGGACATCACGTACATTTTCATGTGCACACCGTGAATGTGAATACGTGTTCGTCTTATTGTCTCTCTCTCCTAAACTCTTGATTCAAACAGAAACAATAATAAACCGCAATTTTTTCAACCTTTTTAAGTAAAATTTGAAAAATTTAAACTATGATAATTAGCAATTTAGATAACCGAGTTGCTTGAAAGTCATTAATTTGTAATTGACATTAATCAATATGGTATTTTGGAATAGAACTAGAATCTGCAAGTGATTTTATATGACTCTTATCATAAAAACTCTGTTATAAGAGTTTAAATTTGGTAATATATGACTGACTAACTTTCACATTGCTAATCAATGCACACATTTGAGTTGACAAAAAAGTGACTCATTTTGTTTTCTACAAGTTCTACTGTGAGATTTGTTACTGTAGACTAAAGATGCATATTTGCATTTAACAATTAGAACATACATTCATTCAGTACGTGTACCCACTGGGTTTCGCACCCAGGATTTCCCTATAACAATCGAAGCGCGTAGACCCCTAAGTCAATGGGACCAGACTCAATGGCCGTCCTATGAATGCCAACCTCTACCCCAGTGGGTGAGTCCCAAACTAGGGCAGACGAAACAGCTGTCCAGTAATCTTCCGTGGATTTCAATGATTCTCTCTAACTGATATCAATCCGTGGGCAAACTTGAAACAAAGTAAATCATAATACACAAAATCTCTAAGTTTGCACTGAGAACGTGTAGAACGTCAGATCGGGACGTAACCGGCAACGAGACAGTCATATCACCAACACATCTAACGAAGTTGATTTCTTCTGAAAGAGACTCGTCATGTAGGAAGAATTGGAAAAGAAGAGAAGACAGAATTGCACTTTGAGGAACATCGACTTCAGTAAACAAGGCAGAGGAAGATTTGCCTTTATGGTATCTATAGGTACAAATATAGCTGCCATCTGATGAATTGAAAACGTCAAAATACTGAACATTAATAACTGTCTTAATGAGAATTTCGGCATTACAGTAAAACATAATTCCACATTAGATAAGTTTATTTCTGCCTGTCTGTCTGGGTTCAACATAGACCTTGGCACCGAAGTGCAGCACTTCGAGTTGTCACGTAGCTGCCCAACCGAAAGCTGCTACCTTGACGTGGTGGTCGGGCTTGAACACCGCAATGACCCAACAAACTATACTGGCTGAGACTTATGTCGCTTGAGGTCCTACCATGCCAGAAAGGTTGTTTGGATAGTGCTTAGACAAAAAGCAGCTACCCAATTCAATGCTGTGACTCAAACAAAATCACACAATATCATGCCGGATCGTTCGGGGCTCGGATTAACAACGACCGCGCTTCCTGCTACCGTGTTACAGGGCAGAAATGATAAATATGCTACTGAGACACACCAAATAAAAAAGAACCAAAAAGATAAGTTTATTTGCCATAACACACAGTGACACACAGTATCAATAATTGGATATAATTCTGTGGAGTTCTTCTCCTAAACAAAGTCTACTGAACTGTTTTCTTCAGTTGCTTTCACCTTGTCTGGAGTAATCAGAATATGTAAACGATGACATTTACGCATGATTCCACTTTTTAAGCATTAAATGGCAAAAATACCACGATTTGTCAGTTGTTTCTCGTCGGACTTCCGAACATCATCCTGCATTGTTGGTTAAGTAAAGGACAAACAAAATCGATTCGTAGAGCTATTCTATATCATCTTGTGGATACAGAACACAAGATTGATGTTAACGAGGCGGCTTTCAAAGTCATTTACCGCATACAAACTAATCTTAACTTTACCTTAAGAGTTCGTCTACCACATATTGCTGAAGCCGTTGAGATCCACATTAAGAAGCCTAACTTGTGTATCCAAAAGAAGTTGGTTGCTTCAGACACTGTCCTTACCCCTCTGGCCATCTAGGTTCGAATGATCCTCAATTTGTTGTGGAAATTTCCTTAATTTTAATTGATATTCTATTTGCTATTACATTTTTATGCTTATTATAATTTAAGCATCTTTAGTGAACTGTAATTCCACTCATCTAACTTAATAAATCGATATTATCTAAAAAAACACTAACATTGTTATTGACTACTATTCTAGGATATTCTATGTATATAAGCATATGTGTATAATTGTAGAGCCAGTAGAGGGGATTACCGAAAAAGATACGCTCTGCTCAATTATTTTGTTTTTTTATAATTGTACTTCTGTCTGTGATAATAGTGTGAGTTGATAATATGTCACAGATTGTTATATCAGATGAACTGATCTAATTATTGAATTACATCCTAATGAGAAAATAGTATTAGGTCCTGACACACAATGATCAATGGTAGTACGTTTTTGCATTCCTTAAGTTTCTAAATGGAAGATAGGGCTTCAATCTTGGCAGTTTCGGTAGCACTAAGGTTATTTCCACTGGTTGGGGTTAGACAACACTTTCTGGCTTTAACGAATTTACTCCAGGCTAAGAGGCAAGGTATAGAAGTGCGTCGACCGGGATTCGAACCCAGATCACAGGCATGGCTAGCAAGCAGGCATTCTGCCACCTACACATATGTTAGCATTAAAACAACCACACTAAAAAGCCCAAATCTCATCACAAAAATTATCAGTTCATCAGAATACAAATTAAGAGAATAGGATGACAGTCGGTGGCATAGCAATTAGGACGATCGCCAATCATGCACATGGTTCGGGGTTCATTTCCGGGCCGATGCAATCCTTTACCCCGCTGAACAAATATTGAAAAAAGCTGATAAAGAGGAAAGGTTGGACATGAGGCTACCAACCCCATCCTGTAAAAATAAACACTGCTACAGAAACTTCAAGCCTCTAGCTTGAAGCCCTATGTTGCACTGGGAACGTGTAGGAAAAAAAAACGGATGACAGTTACATAACCGGACGAAATAGGTGGATAACTTGATAGTTCAGCACTCTTGTGAATACATGAAGAAAAAAGAAAAGAAAAGAAAACAACAACAACCCATAAAGCTAAGTGAAATACACTTACCAGTTAGTATAGGATTACCATCAACATAAACAGCATGTGATGAAAAATTAGCTAACCAAAATATTCCATCATCGGCTAAGCGTATTTGACCATGACAACGTGATACACGTGCACTATCACCTTCATATGATAAATCAATATACGGTTGATAAAGCAACGAACTACGACCAAATATAACCTAATAATAAAATATATAGTGAAGTAGAAATGATGAAATATTAGATCTGAGAGAAAAAAACAAACAATCTGTCGATAATGCAAATACACAACAACAATAAATAAATAAATAAACAGAATAGTTCTCATTCAGTTGATCAATTGCAAAGTGATGTTTGTTTAATCACAGACTGATAGCAAATACAGAGAGTCCCAAAATAGGACGAAACACCTGTCCAGTACTCCCATGTGGTTCTCTTACCGGTGCCAGCTCATGATGAAATCCTTCAGCCAATCAAACAAAATCCTTAAAAAACCAGTACTTGAATAAATACAGAGTTAGGCTTGAATCCTTATGAAGTTCAAAACACCTCGGTAGTGCATATCCATGGTAACTAGTTAGTTGCTTTTGTGTTTTTTTGATGAAAGACTATCTTGAAAGTAATTACAGCTGACTAAATTTAGCAAAATAGAATGAAAACTACTGATATTTAGTGCACTAGAAAAAAAGAGTTTCATCGCATTTGCCAAAGACCCCTCGGTGATTATCAACTTATCGTGATAAGAAATGCGAGTGTAAAAGACAAAATTCACATTTTCAATATCAATATTAAGCCATTTCTTCTGTGGTTCATAAACTTAGTGTGTCACGAAGAGGATTTCCCGCAGCCTGCTGAAGACTTTTATCAACAGCTGCCAACTTCGCTGGTTTCATAATGAACATAAAATGGCCGGTCAGAAAGATTTAGCCCCTAGAAACTCTGGAAATGAAACAACCAACAACCTATTGCCCCAAAAAAGTGGAGATGGATCGGACACACGCTACTGAGGAGAGCGTCGAATAGAACAGTGCGGCAGGCCCTCAAGTGGAACCTTAATAAGAAACGGCAAGCCGGGTCTGGGTTCGAGGGTGACACGGAGGAGATCGTGTGATGGGAATGAGAAGAGAGATTATGGAAAATCGTGTGGCCTGCTGAAGAGGACCTCAGAGAACAGGACAAAATAGAGGTGTGTTTTTGAAGCCCTTGGTTCCACTCGGAATCCAAGGGAATATCACTGATAATCTCACACAACACAAGGTGATAAATGAAGGAGGTTGAGGCAGAAATTGTCCTCAATAATCCCATCGAATCATTATCGTAATAGATACAGAAAACAGACCAGTGTGATATCGAATTTTCTAGCATTAAATTGATGAAGGCTTTACATTCTTCACGTTATAAACGATAAAAGTACTAAAAGACGCAATGCATGAATCATACATATGATGTAGAAATAAAATACTTCTCCCTCCATTTTACTAACTAGGCTACTTGAAACAGTTATTTATACAGGAAGGGTGACTAAGATTTACAGCAGACTATTTTGGTTATGCGACTAGGGTGTAACCATCATTGCCAAAATAAGTCAATTTGGTAGTTTCACACAGACTACTCAGCAACTAGTAAGCAATGCAATGTTTTTCCCTCCTATGATGTTAACGCTCTTAATCAGTCTTTTATACGCTCTCCTTCTACTATAATTACTTTAGTACTCTTGCTGTTCTAAAATGTCTTAAAACGCTTAAGCCCTCACGCAGCCTTGGCCCTGATGGTGTACTTGCCTATGTTCTAAAACAATGTGCAGATGCTTTATGTTCTCCACTTACTAACATCCTAAATGCTTCTTTTTCCAAAAACGTGGTACCTGTTGCATGGAAAGACATTAAAATAGTCCCTGTCCCCAAAACCTGGAAACGGCAAGAACGTAAAGTTCAGACCGATTGCCATTACTTCCCCGTTTCTAAAGCTGATGGAAAAACTAGTACTTCTTAAACTTGAACACTCCCTTAAAAATTTTGAAGACCCCAAACAATTTACATATAGACAGGGTAGGAGCACTTTTAGACGCTGCAGCCGTCTTACAGAACAGTATCGTCTCATCATTAGATAAAGGTGCCAAATACGTCCGCTGCACGTTTCTCGACTTCACTCCTGCTTTCGACTCTGTACCTAGATGTCTCTTGCTAAATAAGCTCTCTATGACAAAAACTGAGTCCTGGGTCACAAACTGGTCACATTCCTACTTCTCAAACAGAAAGCAGTACACCATATACAAAGGTAGATCATCCTCTGCTGTACTCACTGAAGCCGGTGTCCTCCAAGGTGCTGTATCCACCCCACTTCTCTTTTCCTTCTTTCTACATGACTTACCATCTTCAAATGACATTAATTTTGTCAAATATGCTGACGACCTGACTGTATCTTCACCTGTCAAATGTCAAAGTGACTGCTCCAAACTAAATGGCTTTTTATCAGAAATCAGCCAGTGGTCCAAGGAAAACGGTCTTACCTTAAATCCCTCTAAATGTTAAACAGTCAATTTCACCTTTAGGCATAAATCTGACCTAAACAAACGGGCTAGCACTCACGAGGTGTGCAACACAGATGACACTGAAATAGAAACCAAGTCGGAAATTAAATATCTAGGCGTCATTCTATCTGCTGATTTTTCCTGGTCGTCTCATATCTTGATGATTTTTAAGAAAATATTCCGTCTTACCTTCTACATCAAGAAGTTAAAACATTCTGGTATAACCCAATCCTTACTCCTACAATTCGTTAACTCTTGCATCCTGCCTGCTATTCTCTATTGTTCTTCCTTAGTTTTTTCCGGGCTAATGAAGAAAGACTATACCTTATTACGCAGGATGTTAAAGGTTGTCAGCAGGGTAAGCAACGTGCCACTTAACCAGCTTGTTACTATTCTGGTCGACAGGCACTTGGACTCATGTGAAAAATGGGCTAAATCTATTCTACCTAACTCACACCACCCTATTCATTCACAACACTCCCCTTGTATCTCACCTCGCACTAGCAAGTACAAAAACTCAACCATACCCTACTTAGCTCGTGTTCTGTGCGATAAAGAAGGCAATAGGCGTGATACCTATACCTTATTAAATAGTCAGTAGAACAACTGGATCTCGTCTTTCCAACTCATATCATTTATAGGTACAACGTTTTCTTTCTTTCTTTTCTCTCTTCCTTACAAACTTTATTTGAAACATTGTTCTTCGTTCTTTCACACTCTGTATATCTCGACCTTTTTGTTACCACTTACGCCAGTAAATATGCTAGTATCCACTTTTCTAACACCTTCAAACACTCTGTTCAATTTTGGCTTTGCTACCGATATGCTAATATGTTGTTGTCAAAACTAACCGAGATTACCCTTAATCTATGTAAAATTTTATTTATTGTTAATGTACTAACTGGATGCAATACTATAGTAAAAATGCTGAGAATTCTATTCTGTATCACAAGTACTGTTTTGGAATAAAGCAAATTATTATTATTATTACTATTATTATGAAACATTTTTTTGGCTACCCAGTCTAACCTGCTTTAGATTGAGACTTATAGGTCGAATAATGATGTGGTTCGCGTGCAAAATGCGTTCAAGACAACAGCAGAACCAAGAATATTCAGATATTCTGTTAGGACAAAGACGTAATTCAGTTTTTATAGAATCCTAGAAGTCTCTAAATTTCCAACAAGTCCAGGTATTATCCTTTGAGAATGTCAAATTGTCGCAGATAAAATTAGAAACAAGACATGTGGGTGGAAAAATGTTGATGCTAATTTCACACTTTCCTCTCATATTTTGCCTTTTCTATCTCATTCAGTCCATCATGGAGATGTAGGTAGACATTGATAAAAGGTTGCAAGCATAAACTGCCTGATTCTTTGGTTTCAATGGTTCTCAAAACAAAACAAACAAAAAACAATCCACCTTTTATACACCTCCAAGGGAAAAAGAAAACAAACACGAATATCTATCTGAAAAATTCGAAAAATTCAAACCTTTTTCTCTTTGATTAAATATTTTGTCCTAGATCCTGTAAGAGTTGCTAAAACTGGATAAACTGGTTGTGGATTCATTATCTCCAGTCCATTGGTTATACATCTTTCAACTAAATGTGTCCAACGTCTAGCTTCTTCTTTAGTTCTACGTAAACGTGCCCAAAGACGTCCACGACGTCGATACAGTTCAAGTCGACGCTGTATAATTATGTAGAAAAAATATGTAAGATTATCAATTTTTAAAATAATTAAGACCCGGATAAAGAATTTCATTGACAAACAAAATGCGAAAATTTATAAGTAGGATGTAAATGCAGGTATAAATATGTATATCATAAGGAAGAATATCGAATAGCGGAGAGATATGTCCAGCAGTGAAGACGAGGAGTTTATCTCAGTACTCTCCAGCAATCTTGGATGCTATCTTAATATCAATGATACTTCGATTTGAAGTATGCGCTGAAGATGTTGTTGAGTAGGGTAATGAAAGCTTCGCAAGTAAACTATCATCCAGCTCAGAGAACAAAACTACATCAAAATTTAGCCATTTTTCCCACTCAACAACCCCCCACCTGTGTAAACAATACCAGTTTGTTGTTACGTTTAACATAACTTGGTGAGTCTTTTCTGATTATACTGCCAAGATCAGTGTTAGTTATTGTCATCCTTACTCCTGAATGCCTTAATAATTCCTTAAATCTTATTCGACAATTCAATCTTTCGATTGGTTTGAGGATTACATCATGAGCTGATATCAATTAGAGAACCATTGGCAAACCAGCTAGGAGTACTGGAGAGCTGTTTTGTGCTAGTTTTGGGACTCCTTCAGTTTTTACATCTTTCATATAAACTGAATTGACACGTAAATATGTGATGATTAGACTATTTGTTTTCAATTCAATTTTGATTCTGCTGTCAATTGAGGAGAAATGTTCAGCCTCTGTTGACATATCGACTCTTTTTGTGCGGATGCTTCCACGAGGTGTCTGATAATTTACGTGAAGTAAACTTGGTGGGAACGCCATCACTCATTGAGGAATACAGTTGCATCCAGATGACGAGTTTCAAATAGGATGGTGGTTTCCACTACTAGTCACCATCCGGCGAATTTCTTCAAGTCTGTGTTATTGGACTATTTGAAATGTTAATTAAGATGACACAAGTCAGTAAACAGACCTCTTTTTATAACTTTATTTTAAAGCTGTACAATTATTTAGGAGAGGGGGCTTTATAAACACTATGATTTTAACTGACAGCAAAGGTCAGAGGCTATTGTAAGGCAGTAACAGGATTACTTCAACTGTATGAGTAACAACAATGTTTAGCAAGTTGTGGATAGTATTACTTAATTGGCAGGGATGAATAATCATTTGAAAGTAATTGATAGGAAATACGAGAACAAATGTTGGTATTAAATGATTGGAGGCAAACAGTGTTAGCTTGTACATCTACGTAGAAAGTCAATAATAATAATAATAACAATAATAATAATAATAATAATAATGGCTTTATTCCAAACAGTATTTGTGGTGCAGGTATGGAATTTTCAGCGTTCATTACAATATTGCATCTAATTACCTTATAAATTTTATAAGGATTTATATATATATATATATATATATTTAGATGATTAATAAAAATCGGAATAAATCTGCTGAAGAAGCTGTGGATTACACAGCGAAACGTTCAGAAAAATCTTGTTTTGATTTTCTTAACACGCTGGGATTAATTTAAATAATTTATAATAAAAAATCTAGGTCAGTTGATTCTAATAAGATAAGAAATCTGGGGAATAGTTCAGCTGTACCACTCACTACATGCATTTACACAAAACCATACAATAGGATGGGATAAGATGACAGTTTTAAAATCTAATGTAACAACAGGGTGGAGGGAGAAATTGATTACAACGGAAGCTTTGTTTAACGAATCAACAGCAAACACGTGTAACAGGAATGATTCAACACTTGTCCAGCTGGACATCTGGAAAATTCTACTACCACTTCTATGACGACAAATAGGAGAGAACAAAGAAAACTATAGAACTCAAGTTTCGAAGTTGTGTGATTATAATTAATGTGGTATGATTATGAACAGTCATAAATTGGGTTCGAACCCCGGTGGGTACGTAATGCTGAGGCGTCCCAAACTAGGACGAAACAGATGTCCAATAATTCCAGGTTTTCCAATGCTTCTTTAATCAATGCCAGTTCATGATGAAATCCTGTAACCAATCATAAATTGTGTTCGAAACTTTGTCATCCAGTAAATAATAATAATACTGTTTCATTCACTGTGTAATATATCTAATAAACAAATTAATATGGAATAATTTTTTCAAATTCTATTCATAGAACATCAGAAGAAAAACTTACATTGAGATTAAATTCTTGCTCATTTGAAATAAAAGGTACAGATGACTGGCGGATAAATGATGAATGGGATTTACTCGACGACTCTTGTGGCGCTGAACAACTCTGATCAAATGCTGCTGATGATTTTAAATCTGTCGATCGTGATCCACTCGAAGTCAACAAGGAATACTGAGATGATACTGAAATTGGACTAGACTGTATGCCTGAATCACTTGACTGGTTAGATAAAGATTCTTTGATCAATGCCTCTAAGATGGTTTGTGTCACAAGACCTTGAAAACCGTGATAGGATGTTTGATTGAGCATACGTTGTCTACGTGCTACTGTCGACTGTTCAGTGAGTTTGCTAATTCCAGCTGTAACAGCATTTGCCACTGTCTCTTCTAATAATAATTCGGTATCAGAAAAACTCTCTGGATCTTCACCTAGCGGTATAGAAGTGGAAAGACTAATGTCTTTCGGAATCAATGTGATGTCACGATTCATTGAATTTATTCCTACGGTTGTTGCTGTTGACGAAGATGACGGAGAAGGATTCACCAGAAATGAGCTTATTTCTTCAGTTTTTGTTTCTAATTTTTCTTCATCTGGTCTAATACAATGACAGCTGTAAAAACGACACCATTGACGGTATAAATCAAATGCATCTCGTCGAATATAGAAAACTGATGGATATTTACGTAGAACCTCTGTAAATATAGACGGATTCTAAAATAAAACAAGGAGATCGGAAATAATCAGTGCTGAAGAAGTTTTTGCGGAAAGATTGGAAAATGAGAATTTTAGTTGGATATGCAACCTAGAAAATACCTGAGTAAGACTTTAACCTCTGGGTAAATATTCGTGTATAAACGCAAAACTCACCATCTAAACTTCACTGTGTACATCTACCTTGGGTAGATAATCACCCTTATAGACTGTTTCTCTTGTGCATCAGTTTTATTGTAATGACAGAAGACAAGGTTCAGGCAACAGATCGTTTATTGAGAAAATCAACAGATATTTATAGATTTTTATGTACATTATTATTCGTTGTTGTTAACGTCATCTGATTGGTTGTTTTCTTGCTGAAAGTTATTCTGTACTGCTTGTGACCGTTTCTCAGAAAGTTAAGCCACATATCTGCGAATCGTAGTTGCACACATTAAGTCTACTGTGATTGGTTGGTGAGTTCCTCAAGGTTTAGCTTTGTTATTGTTTTTTTATCACCCCGATTGGGGACGAAACGTAGTGACGTAAACTGTTGTATACACTTTTGGCTTGCAGACAGCTCACACCATACTATTTACCATAATACCAGCTGCCAACAATCAAGCAAGCAGTACAAAGTGAAAGATCACTGACTAGACTTAATAAACAAAAGTGAATATGTAACGACAGAAGGCAAGAGTCAGGCAACAGATCATTTATTAAGGAAATCAACGCATATTTATATATGTTTTCATGTACATTACTATGGATATGTAAACAAACAAACACAGTCTTCCGATTGGTTGTTTCTCGCGACAAATCTTGGGAACGTAAATATTGACGTAAATTACTGTCTACCAATTTGGCTAGTAGACAGCTCTCACCACAAATATCTCATCATCACAGTAATTTTTTGAAAGTCCGTTGAACTATTCTGTACGCATCATTATTATATTATTATTATTGTATCCTTTAATTCCTACAGGAACATAGGGCTGCAGCCGTGCGTCTCCATTGCATTCGGTTCTCTGCTAGAGTCTTCACCTGGCTCCATGTCTACCCACACGTTTTCATCTCCTCCTCTTCACATGACCTCCTCCAAGTCACCCTTGCACTGACGACCAACTCACCGCTTCCCTTTCGGGTTCCACTCGAGCAATGGCTTGTCTAGTGATATCACTTGATGGTTTCCTCAGAGTATGGCCAATCCATCTCCATTTCTTCCTGCCTATTTGTTTCACAATCGGTTCCTGGTTGGTTCGCTCCCAGAGATCTCTGTTGCTGATCTTTTCTGGCCGGCTATCTGATCTTGAGTATTGAGCGAAGACAGGTGTTAATGAAGGTCTTTAGTTTGTTTGAGATGCTCTTTATGACGCGCAGTGCAAGTCTCTGATCCGTATAGTAAGTAGCACTGACTGACTTCACATTGGAGTTGAAAATCCGGATCTTATTTTTGATGCTGGGTGCTGTTGACCTCCACACAGACTTGAGAGTAGTGAAAGCTTGTCTTGCTTTTCCGATTCTTGCTTTGATATCCTCGTCAGTTCCGCCTGTAGTTGAAACGGGGTCCTCGGGACGGTAAAAACCAATGGTTGGAAACTATTGGTGACATGGCTCAAAATCGTTCTCAGTGGCTGGCGCAGATGCATCCACTCCTTGTGACTTATGATTTCCAATGAAGCTATGTTGTTCTTTGTTATTACTATTCCTTTGTCTCACACCTCTGTTTACTGTCTCTAATATGCATTGCTCCTACTTCCTTCTCTTGCTTTGTGTGCTACATGGAGTGTGGCGACTTGAACTGCCGCACATATGTGCAAAGTTCTATGTCGAAAACCGACCGACCGACCGATTGTTGTCAGTTGTTGTTGTTGCTGTTGGTGGTTTTGCCCAGGAATTTTCATCACCTCTGTTTTATCTATGTTCACCTGAAGTCCTATCTTCTCCGGATGCTTCTTCTGCCAACTTGTTGCTTTTCGCTTGCATATCTTCCAGTTTGTGGGAAATCAGACATATATCATCGGCGAAGTCCAGATCCTCCAAGTCTTTTGTGTGAGTCCATTTTATGCCTGTTTCCTCATTTCCCGCTGTTTGTCGCATTATCCAATCTACTGCAATCAGGAAAATCATTGATGATAGTAGGCAGCCTTGTCTTACTCCTGTCCTCACTTCGAAGGATTCCGTAAGTTTCCCGTTGTGGATTACTTGGCATGCAGCATTGTCGTACAGCTGTTGGATGAGATGTATAATTATCGGTGGCACCCCGTAGTGGCGAAGTAGTTTCCAAATCACCTCTCGATCGACGCTGTCAAAGGCCTTTTCAAAGTCAATGAAGTTGAGATAGAGAGGTGACTGCCATTCCAGCATCATTATATGCTATTAACTGTGTTCAGCATTATCGGGAACAAGCAATTAACTCCCTATTTCTAAGCAGGATATCAATCGAAAAGCCTCAGAATAATAACTTTGTAAAACACTTTCTGAATACAGGATTTCATCATGAGCTGACATTGGTTAGAGAACCATTGGAAAACCTCGGAGTACTGGACAGCTGTGTTGTCCTACTTTGGGACTCTTCATCAGTACGCACTCACCGCCAGGGTCCAAACCCAGGACCTTCTGGTTACAAAACCAGCGAGCTCGTAGACCATTAGGCCACTGGGACCCAATCCAATGACCGGTACATGAATTCTAACTTCTGCCAATTCAGGACATAGCGCGACCCCTAGCCAATATCTTCGGCGAGTATTTGTCCTCACACCCGACCTGCTGCAGCCTACTGGTCACGACTTCTCACCAGAACCCCAGGTAACTACCTACCTGAAAAGTTTATATTACATAGCTGGAGGTAATAGGGAGGAAATCCTCCAACTAGGTTTTGTGTGTTTTTTGGCACTCATCAATCATTATGGCGCATCTGAAATCTTGAAGTAACTCATATCCCGAGTGAGATGTGAACCCGTGTTACCTCGTGAGCGGTGCAGTCAGTCAGAGACGTTACCACTGGGCTATTCGGGCTGGTGACTGGCATCCTGTAGGACTGTATTAGATACTTTGATTGGAGACCTCTTAGTGGCTAGTATCATGTGTCTAGTCCTTTGTTTGGTGCAGCAGACTGACTGAATTCTATCAGTCAACTTTCTGAATAGTATTCATATTGCAGTATTCCACGATAAATTAGAGGATGTACGATTGAGGTGATTGGCAAATATTAACTTTTGAATCTAAATGAAGATCTACTACTACTACTATCGGTGATCAATAAATTGTGTCAATAGTTCATCATTTGATGTGTTATATGAAAACGCATGTTTTGACCTAAAATGTTAAATCGCTTTCTTATTGTTTCATATAATTGACTGATTGATTAACAGGTTATTATTTAAACAAACTACACAGAATACAGAACTCTTAAAGTATACTGTTGCTTAGTTCATTCACACTTATTTATCATTTACATAAATGTAAGCTTAGTTAGAATGAATACAATGAACGCTACATTGATCTGCAGGGATTTGATTTGATTGGTTACAGGATTTCAGCATCAGCTGACATCGGTTGGAGAATTAATGGAAAACCAACTGGGAGTACTGGAGAGTTGTTTCGTCAGCCTAGTTTGGGACTCTTCATCAGCATGCACCCACCACCATAGCTCGAACCCAGGACCTTTCCGTTACAAAGCGAGTTCGTGCACCACTAAGACCCGATTTAATGACCAGCCCATGAATTCCAGCTTATGCCGATTCACGATATAGCGCAACCACTAGCCGATGTCATAGGCGAGTATTCGCCCTCACACCCAACCTACTGTATCCCACTGGTCACGACTACTCACTAGAACCAAGGTAACTGCCTACCTACCTGAATAGGGAGAGTTGCTAGTGAGCATTGAATAGTATGGAACGAAGCAGATAGGGATTTGATCTGTCCCATTCCCCTTCTACACTCACAACAGTACTCTACTTCAATGACGTACATATGCTAACCCCAGCAGTTGTTTAAGTACTACCTGAGTGTGTTGCATTCTACTACCCAGTAAGAATATGTATTTACAATTTAGAATTCTAAAAATTCCTGATGAAAAGTGTGATTTTCCTCATAAATCATACACACTAGTCAAATTCAAAATGGTATCTCAGAATTAATGGGTGATACCCGCTCATTTTTCGTGCGTCGGTGGCACAGCGGTAGAATGCTCGCCAACCATGCATATGGCTGGAGTTCGATCCCTTGCCGATGCACCCCTTTACCTCGCTAAGCCACGTAATAAGTCTGGTAAAGAGGGAATGCTGGACATGAGGCTAGCAACCCCATACCAGCACCACTGCTACCAAAACTTCAGTGCTCGAGCTTGAAGCCTTTTGTCCTACTGGGAACAGGAATACTTCACAAAAAATCTTCTTTGTTGTAGAAAACAGTGATGCTTGTTCGCAAACACTCCTGACGTTTGGATTATGGAATTTATAGGAGAATGGATTAATTTAATCTCAATGGTTAGATTTCATTACGAACCAACATCAAGAAAGACAGATCATTGCAAAAAACCAGTGAGCACTGGACAGCTGTTTCGTCCTATTTTAGGACTCTTCAGCAATAAACGCACTCACGACTGATGTTGGTTTGCGATGAAATCTAACAATCGCAATTAAACTCCTCACGTTATTGATATACAGAAGTTGCATGACAAAAGAGATTGATTCTAACATTTACTACACCTTAGGACACCTGCTAATAAAATGGAAAACATCAGCCATATGATATACAGATAATCCTGTTGACCACTTTACTTGTTTGGGAAGTTGCATCAACCAACGCATCGCTGATGAAATCTCAGCACGGATACAAAAGGCTCGTTTCGCATATACCCGACAGTTTACGCCATCTCTGGCTTAGTATACATGATATCCGACTGGTTGCCGACCAAAGGATGCGTGAACTGCTCAGCAGTCCGCTCCATTCTCTTTTATAGCTGTGAGCGAGACATGGCCATTGAAAGTAGAAGACATGAAAAGCATGGCTAGCTATCTTTGACCATAAGTGTCTGCTTTATATCTTCCGTGTGAAGGGGTATAATACGGTGAGCAATGTTGTGGTGAGGCATCAATCGAGTGCTAGGTAGGTGGGAGGGGAAATCAATCGACGAGGTTGTGAAGTTACACCGATTGAGTCAAGGACTTCTTTGACGGGCAATGTTAGCTCACTGACATAGGATGGATCAGGTTGGGAAAGAGAGACCTAGTAGTGGTCAAACGAAAACATGACTTCATCAGTCAATGAAATCCACAACAGTTAGATTAAGCTAACCATGTAGGGAAGTGTAGACTTCTGTTTGATTGGAGTCTTCGGGTTGGTTAAAACCAATGGCGGCTAGAGACAATTGTTGATATGGCTAAAAATCGTTCTTAGTGGTGCAGATTTATCCACTCTTTGTGATTTATCATATCCAATAAAGCTTTATTGTTTTCCCATATTACTATTCGTTTTGCCTCACACTTCTGTTTATTATGTCTTTTAAACCTCCACTTACTCTCTTCTATTGCTTTGTGTGCTACATGAAGGGAGTATGGCGACTCTAACTGCTGCACATCTGTGCAGAGTTCTACGTCAAAACTAGTCAGTTAGTTAGTCAGTCACGCAGATAATCCTTTCAAGTAAACAAGCATCTATTTTCCAACTGGCTGTAAAAAGCAAAACATTTGAGAATCTCTTGGTGATTTTGAATAGCACTACCAGAACTGATAGGGTTATACGTGAACAGTCTCGCAAAAGTAGAAGCATATTTGAAATGTCTACAACAATAACAAATAAGGCAAGGGACAAAACTCTGTCTCTCACACACAGCAAAAGGAGGGTTACTTACCAAATCATAAGTAGTAAGCGGTCTAAGCACGCCATCTGGAAATACATCTAAGAAGGAGATCTGAGCTATAATATTATCTTCTTGTGAAGTAAAAGGTATTTGTCTGTCCAACTGGGCTTTTATAAACGGTGGAAGCTTTTCAATAGCTTTTAATGCTGTGCTACAAAACAAGGTACAAGATGAGATGAGAACCCGTTAAATTACACAATTCACTTAGTTTTAAAAATAACGAACTCTAATATACACAACATATTACCCTCCAAAAGAAGGCGAAGAGAAAACGTTTAGGAGATAACTGGCCCAGGGGGAAATATGGATGCGGAGTAAGTACGACTGCGGTTTAACGCATAAGAAACTCAATAATCACCTAATGAATCACGATTTCGAAGCCAAACCCACTTGGGAATTTTAGGCAGTCAAATACGAATCCTCTCACAAAAGGTGCACCCTTTTACCGTCTATATTAGGAGACACGTGGCTGTCGACTTTCAAAATGAAAACAAATTTACTCTCCTAGTGAAACCTCACTATACTCTATCTTATTCTCTTTCGCAAAGTATATGATTTTGTTGAAGTTAAAATCAATTCGGCGAAGTTCAACAATAGCGTCTCAGGAGTGAGAACGCTCCGATGACCTTGAACGCATGTTATTCGTTCAGTAACGACACCTATCATTATCATAGCTGAAATGTCAACGCTATTCACCAACTTACGGGCAAATTTCAGCCAGATCACGTTTTTAAGTACCGTTTGGACAATGTTTTAATAGCTCATTAGGGTTAGGATCAGGGTCATAATTAAGATTAGGGTTAGGTCTACGGTTAGGATAAGGGTTGTAATTAGGGTTAAGATTAAGGTTAATGTTAAGTTTAGGGTTAGGGTCAGGACTAAGGTTAGGGTTACGATTATGGATAGATTTGGAGTTGATGACATTTATTTTAATTTGTTTTACTATCCACATTTTCCTGGTAAGTAGTTTTCGATCCTCTTACTGGAAACTATAGTGATTCAACCGAGGCCTCTAAGGGAAGACTGCAGAACAGGATAGGAGAGATAAACGATTCAGAAAAACAGTCACCTCTGTGAATACATGTAGAGGAAACAATCTAACTTCGCAACTGATACTCCTCATTATAGCTAGGACGTATTTTTAAGTCATGTCAGAGGAAGATACCCTTTTGATGTGTTTTAATACATCTTCTTGTGAATGTACGTCATTTTTAATGCAAAAATTACTCATTTTTAGGATTGGTCGGCTTAAGGTCACTGGTACGTTCGCACTCCTGGGACGCTATTGTTGAACTCTGCCCTCAGTTCCTCAAAGTATAATAAAACTTGTGCACTGTGGTAGAGTATAATTCCATTATGGGTCAAATTTATTTTGATAAAGTCTCACAGTGTTGTTATACAGTCATATTTACTGATTATGAGCAGTGATAAATTGTGCTCAAAACGTGGTCACATCAGTAAATATTACACTGTGAGTATAACACTGTGAGACTTTATCAAAATAAATTTTACCCATAATGGAATCGACGCGTCATGGACCATTTTTATCTTTATCGTTCTAAATAAACTGCTTTTGTAATTCGCTTGTCTTCCGCTTTGAAAAATCGATTTAATTTATCCGTATAAAGAATAAGTTATACGATAACTGCATAGGTCATCTTTGAATTCCTGTTCACATAGAAACTTTCTTACCACAGAGATTCCCACGACAGTATCATTTTACCAAGTGTAAAAATATGATCACTCCCTTAAAGCACGTACAACAAGCTGGTAATACACTTGCCTAAAAGTAAACGGTAAAGGAAGTGGAGATATCGGGACAATATGACAACTATGACAACATGTACTGACGCAACAACTTAGAAATTACTACACAATCCTAATTCGAAACCGTGATCGAAGATCCCCCTGTGGCTAGCGAAAAGGAACATGGCGAAACATAACTCCTCACAAGCAGATTCACTACCTTACCATTAGTCAACAGATAGAAATAGAAAAATATTTTCCACTCATATCAATACAGAGAAATACACACACTTAAAACTTTTACTACTCATAAAATAAAATAGTAGTAAAAGTGGAGTACATTTTTTGAGACTTACCTTGAAACGATAGGATCGAATAATAGATCACGCCAACGGGCTTCTATTTCTTTCTCTGTATAGTGCACAGCAAATCTTACAGTATGATACACCTCAGTAAGATTACATACCTATTGTATACAGAAGAGTTAATACAAGTAGATGATTATAACAAGTTTAATAGCAAAAACTATACAAATCATTTATTTTTCAAGTAGTGATTTTTGTAGGGATTTTTTTGTTTGATTGGTTGGAGGATTTCATCATGAGCTGACATCAATTAGAGAACCACTGGAAAATCAGTTGGGAGTACTGGCCATCTGTTTCGCCCTAGTTTGGGACTCTTCGGCAGTAGGCACTCACCAAGAGATACAGTTATATCATTCATGGAGAATTTAGATAAGTTAAACAATACTACTTATACTTCATGTTGATGTAACGCTGTGGCTCAAAGGTTTCAATGCCCAATGTTAAACTAACAAGTCGTAGGCTCGAACTCTATTGCATTACTCCCCCACTTATAACATAATCCCACACTGTAAGTGGGGCTTATTGTCAGGCGCATGAAGACAGACGTTGGTATCCAGTAATATCGCTTGTCACATACACTCACAGAATGAGCATTAAACGAAACCATAAACATCTATCGATTATCTCTTTGCATTCCGGGAAAAAAACGGAACATTTACATCATTAAAGCTGCCATCTTAACTGTAAAAAACTGACAAAACAATGATATTAATCTGTAATTTAGTGCAACATATGACACACTTAACCTACCATGACAACAGAATTTATCAGTAAGTAATCATCTCCAGGTGTCCATGGAACAAGTTTCACTTCATGCTTAGTTGTCTGACGATTGATTCGAGAAGCCTTCTTTTTTATTTTTCTGGAGAAATCTCTACGCCGATGATACAGTGTTCGTCGTAAGTGATTTCCACTGGATGCTGGTCTTTGATGAGTAGTAGTAATCTACGCAACAATTAGCATCAAATGGACAATTAGCTTACAGAACTTGCAGAATGAGTTACCGAAACACTGTCAGAATTAGGAGCGGAAATTTCCGTACTAACGGAAGTATTATGATTCATTTTCTGCAAAACAAACAAAGATGAACAGGAAATGACACCACTTGAATACTAACAACACATTATAAATTTTTATCCTAGATATTGATTTTTTGAAATATTAAAGAGACGATATTTGTCATAAGAAAAAAAAGGTTTCAATAATACTTTTTTTCTCTCTAATTAAAGTTTGTTTCTTTTGAAATGTGGCGTTGTGATATACATGGGGCTCAGTACTTGACTCTCAACCAGTTGATCACGGGGGGTGGGGGGAATGTGCTCTCTATAATTCAACGAGTACGAATGGATAATATCACATAACCTTATGCAGTAACCCACAACTGGATATATGGACATTGTTACTATCTAATCAATTTCTGACATATTGAGTTCATAACGAATTCCGGCAAAGTTTAACTTTAAGCACCACTAACTACCAATCAGCAAATGACCTCGAGCGCACCAGTCACGCGAAGGAGGCACTTTGTGTATGGAATACATACATCTATAAAAGAAATGCACAAAAACTGTATAAAAGTGTTACAGAGGATACCTTTCTCTCACATGTGATAAAAGTAGCTCTCAGTTTTAGGTTGGAATATCAACAGAGTATAATTCTATTGTGGGTAAAATTTATTTTGATAAAGTCTCACGGTGTTATACAGTAATATATACTGGGCAATAAACTGTGTTCGAAAAGTCATCAGTAAATGTTACTGTATAATATAGTGAGAATTTATCAAAATAGATTTTACTCACAATGAAATTATACTCTACCACAGTGCACAAGTTCTATTCTTATATCAGTAGAGTAATTTAACCCTAACAATAACCCTAATCTTTCCTGAACCTAACCCTAACATGAAAATATCACTTAACTAACTGTAATCTAACTCGAACCAACCCTAATGTCGCTTTTATTAGGTTAACCTAACCCTAACTTGTCCCTGCCTTAAACCGTAACTTAATCTTTCCCAAACGTAAGCTGTAACTTGCCAGATATCTCATTTAATAGCTTAACACTTCGATGAGCATATTTTATTGATGATGACAACATTATTTGGCAGGTTTCATCAACATGCTCAGTGAGCGTCTCAAGGTCATTGGTGCGGTCGCACTCCATTGGTAGTTAGTGATGCTTAAAGTTTAACTTGGCCCGAATTCTTTCTGTCATCACTACTTTTACTAACACATTCTGGATATTTTTAGTTACAGCCTGATAAACAGTCATCTCTACAGGGCTGTTAAGGCGTATAACTGAAACTTCCAGTTCAGGAGTGATATGAATGGACACTTTCCTCATTTATGCAAAATGAATACCTAATCATATTGAAGTACTAACTAAAACATATTTGAAGGTGATCTGTGGTCCAGTAAATGTGGTTAATTAAGAAAGAGAATAAAAATAAAACCAGTTAGTCTTGTGAAATGTTAGGAAATCGCGCGCAGAGAATTCACGTAGACAGTGATATATTGTGTGGTGAAAAATAATAACGGTTTGCTTCACTCCAAAACAGTACTTATGATATAGTTTGTCATTCTCAGTTTTTGGTGCAATAGTGCACCTAGTTTATTCAACAACAATAGAAAAAACATTACATGGTATATGTAACAAAAATTGACAACAGAAACTTTTTGGCATTAGCATAAACAATGAAGTCAAAAACGTAGAACATGTGTAAAACAATAATAATAGTAATATTAATAACTAAAATTATAAAATAATTCAGATACTGTCACCATGAACTACACACGAGGGAAGATAAAACAGCCATTTATTTTGCTAATTACATAGTCAGTTACGAGTTTCACGCTCAAAACCATCTCTGCTACACATAGAACTCCGGTGGGAAAAATACAGTATCGTTGGGGTTTTTCCAGCATACAATCTTTCATAATGACTTCTAGCCTTACCGGATGAGATACAACGTGGGGAGAGTTGTGAATAAACGAGGTGTTGGGAATCAGATAGTATGAATTTACACCATTTCTCACATTAGTTCAGGTGTCTGTCATTTAAAATAGTAACAAGCTGACTTAGTGGCACATTTCTTGCCCTACTGAAAACCTTTAAATACCCTTTGCAATGTGACACAGTCCCTTTTAAGGAGCCTGAGGAAGACGAAAATGGATCAATAAATACACAAGATGGTAATATGTAAGAGTTAACACATTGTAAAAGTAGGAGTTGAGTGATACCTGATTATCTTAACGTCTTAATGGAGGAGGCTAGACGGGACATTTTCTTATAACTCGACATGAAATGCGATGACCGACGAAGAAAGGTCAGATGACAGAACTATTCAAAGGGATTTTGTGGTTGCTTAAGTCTCTATTTTAATGCTCTGACTAACTGGTTTCAAGGTAAAACTTTGCACGGATGTGCAGCAGTTCGAGTTGTGACACTCCCTCCATGTACCACATAAAGCAAGAGAAGAGAGTAAAGGGAGGTTCAAAAGACAGATAATAAACAGAAGTGTGAGGCAAAAAGAATAGTAATGTGGAAGAACAACAGAATTTTATTGGATATGATAAATCGCAGAGAGTGAATGCATCTGCACTACTGCGGACAATTTTGAGCCATATCACCGATTGTTCCCAGCCATTGGTTTTTAATTTTAGTGCTGTCTATGCTGCAAGCATCTTCTGAACGAACAGCTTCATGTAGGTCACGTTTATGCATAAAGCTGAAGTTAACTATCAGGCATTTGGAAGGATTTAAGGTAAAACTAATTAGCTTAGACCACTGACTGATGTCCGACAAAAAGCTATTCAATGTGGAACAGTCAGATTGGGACATAATTGGCAATTGGTCAGTCAAATCAACAACACATTTAACAAAGTTCGTTTCTGCTGAAAGGGACACGTCATGTAGGAGGAGTGAAAAAAGAAGAGAGAACAGCACCTTGACGAAGGTAGAGGATAACTTGCTTTGTTTACAATATTGTGCCTTCCGTTCAAGAAATTAGAATGCAACCGCTTAATAACCCAGCACTCGATAGACGTGAAAGGAAGCTTATTTAATAAAAGACATCTGGTCAAAGTCAAAAGCGGATGTGTAGTCCAATAAGATATATCGGACATATATGGCTCATTTGTCTGAAAACGATGCAATATGTTATGATGTAAGACGGTAGCAGCATCTAATGTACTTTTGTCCTGTTTACATGTAAACTATTTGCTGTCGTTAAAACCTCAAGGAATATTCAACGTTGGGTAAAGGTAATTCCTCCATCAATTTCCAGAAGGAGTAATTGCAATAGGTCTAAATTTAACACTCATACCAGTAAATGACTTAAGCACAACGATAATTTTAATGTCTTTCCATGTAACGGTACAACATTACTAAGAAAAGAAACATTGAAAATGTTCGTAAGGCGATAACATAAAATTTCCGCACAACCTCTGAGGACAACAGCAGGTACACTATCGGAAGCAAGGCTTTGGGAAGGTCTTAGGGATTTGAAACACTTAAGAACATCAAAACAATTGAAACCGTGGAAATTACTAACCTTACGATTTGTAACATCAGGAATGATAAAGTCAGCATTAAGGCGTATGGAAGACTTAAGGAGTATTTAAGCTAAAAGTGGGAAAAATAGTACTCTGCTAACCACTACCAGTGATTTCACTTAAAAGCTGCCACATGCCTGAAGGAGTTTTACATGATAAAAGTCTCTGCTTATAAGTACTACTCAGAATTTGGATTTTACATTAGTTTAAGGTGCTAATCGTTTTAAAAAAAGCAGATTTATCCTTAGACTTGTGTAGCTTTTTGAGATGAAGAGAAGAGAAACGGTCAAATCTTTTGAATAGTGTTTGTTTCGAGCAACATGTTGTGGCGGAATATAAGGTAGTCAGTTATGCTAGTGATCGTGTCGCCTTGTGTATGTTCAGTAAACAGATCCCAGTTAGTGTCCATTGACATTCATCTACGATTGTGTACATTGTTCTGTAACGTATCTGCCACGTTATTTTTGGAAAGGTAAGAGAAGACACTTGTGTATGAATTGCAAAATATTTTAGGTAACACTCTAATGATCGGAGTTCAGTAATGGAGAAATTTTGACTGCTTCATATATTCCATCAATATTTGTGAACACAATCAAGTGTTTTGCCAAGTGTGTGGAGCCCGAAGTGATGATTTTCTATACTTTTTTAGTCGAATTACAAGAATGACACATTTTGAATCTTTTTTTAATTGAGATCCCCATTTAAAAAGACGCTTTGCTACACTCAAATGTACATTCGCTTTGTTGTCGCTGCGTCTACTTACGCTTAAAAATTGCTTGCGTGCCAATACTTCCCTTAATGCTTACTTTGGAATTTGCAGGAACCGTGACATCCTAAAGCAAAGAGTATTCAACCACCTGTTTGGGAACGTCCACAGTGAAGTCTACATATTTGCCGTACCGATGGATTATGTAAGTTAAATTATGGATTTGAACTTAAACTTAATTGCAAGTAACTGTAACCTTATATAATGTATTTACCTTAGAAACTGTAACATACTGTTTGATGAGTAGCTTAAATAATTAGCCATATCTATTTTGATACGTTACATGATAGCTGAGCTTAATGCTTAGTTCATTACAAGTCGAGCAGCAAGGTTGATAATGTCTAAATGACCTACTGATTCAAGGAGAGAATAGTTGCACGAAGGGAAGTCCCTGTTCACTATTGACAGAATCCCCACGGTAAGCAGCAGCAACAAATGCAAATCAGTGTGCAGAATTAGAGTAACTCATTCTGACCATTCAGCAACTGCTGAATTTCAATAATTATAGGAGACACAATCATATCCTCACTTAAATCGTAAAATTCTACATTTTATCCCATATCTACTCTTTTTCCCAAAATTCCCACTCACTTATCCCAATAATCTCCCCTTCTGTTTGACTAAACCAGTGATTTAACTAATCTGCAGACACTCTAGTGCAAAAGTGAGAAACACAATCGTCAAACCTTAGCGAAAGGTATCTTGTGTAGCAGCTTTATGGCTGTATGCTTACTATTTTCATAAATATATGTAGATTATACGTAAAATCGCCTTTTCCATATCACCGTTGCATCCAAGGTAATTTGTGAATTCACGCTTGAAGCTAAATTTCGCTCCAAAGCCAAATATACTTGTGATTTTTAATAACTTAGAGACAGAGTAAACCGAAAAATCAGTTGGATATGTTCACAGAAAAAATAGATGAAATATTAAACAAATAGAAATAACATCAGCGAAGTGGATAGGACGCATTCAAAGTATTGTGTTGGGCCTTTATGATCAACCTCGTCTAAACACACTGAATAAAAACGCTACACAAACTCTTACACTTTTTACAGTAAAACACATGTAATAGAAACAAAACCTATATTATAACACTAATCAATGTTTTATTTTCTCTACTTGCAAGAAGACACCCAAGAGTCAACTGCCTGGACCAGGAGATACATGATTTGCAGAACCTAAACATTAATGAAGCCCAATAAAACCGTTATACCCTAAAACTATACCCCCGCACTTTTTTAAAAGTCAATTTCGTGGAATAAACGCTCTCCTGCACAGTTCGTGTTCTGCTTTCATTATCTGTGTGCCTGTTGGTTGGCCTGTTACAAATTGGTGTCGGAGGTGTCCCAAATCCAGTCTAAACATGAAATCAGACTCATACGAACCTCCTGAAATAATCTCCAGCCAGAAAACCAACACACATCTCCCATCCACAGAATACATCTTACCTGTGCGAGTCTGATTTCATGTTTAAACTGGATTTGGGTCACCTCCGACACCAATTTGTAACAGGCCAACCAACAGGCACACAGATAATGAAAGCAGAACACGAACTGTGCAGGAGAGCGTTTATTCCACGAAATTGACTTTTAAAAAAGTGCGGGGGTATAGTTTTAGGGTATAACGGTTTTATTGGGCTTCATTAATGTTTAGGTTCTGCAAATCATGTATCTCCTGGTCCAGGCAGTTGACTCTTGGGTGTCTTCTTTCAAGTAAAGAAAATAAAACATTGATTAGTGTTATAATATAGGTTTTGTTTCAATTACACACATACAAAGTAACGCAGCAACTGTTTGACCGCCAAAACTTCGCATTCGTCCAATACCCATGACACTGTCATCTGTTGGCTGGACTTATATGCCAGGTTGAGTTGAAATTTCGCTTGAAAAAATTTTTCGCCAATAAGTTTTGATAAAATTGTGTTGTATGTCATGTGAATTGATGGGATTTCTCACTTCCTGATTAGTTATTTTGGTGTCCGCTTCATGTGATCTGACTGCGACACACACTTAGCAAATTGGTTGCAACCACCGAATGATATAGAAACAAAGGCTTCTGCCTTCTAAACATGTTCGGTTAGGGAACTGCAATCCAACATGGCCGACAAACATGGACG